TTACTATATATATATATATATATATATATATATATATATCATTGGTTGCCACTTCAAAAGGCCAAGCAAATTTGTCTTCCTCGTGTATACGTGTGCATAAACCATCTTTGTGTTCCACCTTTAAGCATGACGCTTACCTTTGTATCACCACCACCACCACCATATCCTCCTTCCCTTTCCCCTTTATTTTGTTTTGATTTTCTAAACGCCATGTTCCACCTATCACCACCATAGTGCGAGAGACCTTGCTTATACCTTTTAGGTTTTTTTTTGACTCACATTAACGTTTTTTAGCATCCCCTTTATTGACGTGTACGAATACTCCGCAAAGAAAAACCAACAAAAACCAACCTATACTTATATTATTGTGGTGTTTTAGACAGTGACACGCATAGTAAAAGGGAAATTATTTTTTGTCTTAAGATTACCAGGGGTACCGAGTTCACATCCGGTAGCCCCCGTTGTTGCATTCTGGTTTGTTCCTTTTCTTCTTCTTATCTTTTGGTTTGGCTCATGCCCACTTCTACTTCAGATCCGTTGGGTTCTCGACAAATGGACCCCAAGGAATTCTCTACAGGCAACTTTTGTGTGGGTGGCAGCGGCGGTATCCGTTATGTGACTCCCCCGATGAATGAGAGAGGAGGGGGGGGTAGGACCTTCCCGACCAAAACCCCCGACGCGACGATTCAATTTCAGAGATTCAAAAAACACGACCCTAAACCGGCCATTCAGCCCCCACCAGAGCCCTTTCACTCCCCATCCTCCTTCTCCACGCGGGATTACAGCAGTATCCACTCTTCCACGACCTCCACGCCTTCTAAACGCCCGCGCAGCCCTTCGCTCTCTCGGCCCTCTTCCTTTACTTCGCTCACAGGGGCCTCCGCATCGGTTTTTAGTCATCCCCCCAGCGTCCCCTTTCCGAGCCCGAAAACCTTCCGAAAGGAGGACCTCCCCAATAGCTTCCCTGGCCCTGGGCGGGGGAAACTCCCACGCGCGGATCCTTCGTTTAGCACGTCGATGAGTTTCCGCGAAGGTCGAGGGTCAAGCGGGGATCTCCTCTCCTGCTCCTGTTCTTCACCGCTTATTGGGGGCTTCCCACGGATTCCCTCTTGTGGGGTGGGGAATCCCTCCCTTCGCCTGCCTCCGCCTCTTAAACACGCAATAACCACTCACGATGACGACGAGGGGGAGGGGAGAAGAGGGAAGGGGAGTGATTCACAGGAGGAGTTTCCGCCGCGGGAGAGCATCGGGGAGCCCGTGCGGGCGCCGTCCGTACCCCGGCAGGTCTCCCCCGACGCCGAGGCGCTTCGCGAGCTTGACAAGGAAAATACCCGCAACATGGAAAAACCCCCTGCGTCGTCGTCATCCTCTGGGATGGTAGGGGGCGTACCCCCCCTTCGCGCCCGTTCAATTCGCTTTTTCGAGCCGATTCAGGGCTTGTCAGGGCGTCGGGTGCATCCGTTGGAGGTGAGTGAGGTGCTCGGCGTGCTCCCCGGGTTGGGGAGTGGGGAAAGAGGAGGAGGAGGAGGGGGGGGTTCGCCCGGGCGTCGCCTTTCCACCCTCCGCGGCGACCTCATTGGGGAGGAAAAAGGTCGTCTGAGTGAAGTCTCCGCGTACGAGCCGGCCGAAGGGGAGCCGGAGATCGACGAGGTGCGGTATCTTCGCGATCAGGAAGCGAGCGAATCGGCCGACGCCGACGTCATCGCGTGGTTGGAGCGGCGGAACCACCAAAAGTTCGTCGTTTCCCGCTCGCAGAGGGCGCAGGATGCGCTTCGGATGGGGAATTCAACCACCCCCTCTATTGCGACGACGGACTTCAATCGCGTTCCAAACTCCATTAGCGTGGTCTTCCAACCGCCCATTCCTCGATATCATCCACAATTGATGGATGATGGCTTCGCGATGATATTTTCGGACGGCCCTGCGCGGGATGCCTCGCCGCCGGTTCGCGAGCGGAGTGTAGCTCCTGCCGAGCTTCGTGAGGAGCGTCAGCGTGAGGCGGAGAAGCGGTTGCGTAAGGTGCTCTGATTCGTTCCAACCTCGGAAGTAGCAAAGCGTTCCCCCTCCCCCCCCTCCTTTGTTTACTATTATTATTATCTAAAAGTGGAAGAGACGCGCATGTGCGAGTGAAATGGAGAGTAGTCGTTGTGAGGGACTACAGTAGACGATGGATGGTCGATGAATGCCCTTATGGTTCGCGTTTCATGAGAAATAAGCAAAGTTAATAGTATGAAAAACTGTTAGACTTGTTAGAACGCATGTATCTATCAATAAGCATATTTATATATGCTCTCCATCGTCTTTATATAAAACATTATATCATGCATGTTGTTTCATTATACAACTGTGACTTTCATGTATGACGTCCTACATTGTACACTATGCATCATTGTTGGTATGTGCATATACCTATATTTGTATATTTATAGCTTTAGGAATTTGTTGCTTTTCATAAAATTGAATTGGAAGCCGCAGACGTCTCCCATTGACTAGGGAAGTGATTCTCATGAAGTAGTATTATTTTTCGTTCCCCTGAATTGTACTGCATTACTTTGATTGAATTTATTTAAACTTGTACTACTTGAATGGACGATTTATTTATCCTTATTATTATACCACTAGCCTTGTTCACACCAAGGGAAACTAACTGGTGTGCCATGGCGCCACTACTTTTGCGTTGACTGTAGAGAAAAATATTCAGAAGACCCTAATTTGTAAGTGTAGGCCCGTTGTGATGGGCTTCTTTTGTATATATGCGGTTTATATTCTTCTCTCTACACACTATTTACATTTCTTATTGATATACTTGCGTTCTTTTTCCAGTTCATCATCCCTTCTGCTTTTTGAAAGGGTGTGGCTCCTCCTCAATAATGAAATTTATTCCCTAGACGAGGGAGTTATGAAATTCTTCTGTATGACCTGAGTGACCTTTTGCCTCCATTTGTGGTTGGAAAGTGAGGTAATCCTTCCTTGGAATGCATAAATATTCTTTTGTTTGATTTTCCATTCTTTTTCTCCGCATGGACGTGGCGTGAACAAGATTTATTTAGTGAGTTTTCGTAGTACTTTTCACTATCTTCCCAGTTTAGTCAACTATATATCATCTTTTATATACAAGAAACAAACACATCCACAGAGACGAGTAGGGGTTTCCACAACGGTATATATATAGATATATATACACATATCTATATATATGTATATGTATAAATATATAAGTTGCATCTTTGAACCAATCAATAGTCAAACCCTACAAAACACCTTCAGGGAGCGACAGGCCGGCCTGTGAATGCAATTTCTCTCCCAACTCAACAAGAATGACAACCCTTTGGAGGAGGGGGTTGAATCTCGCGCAGTAAGGCATTCTGAAGCCCCCTTACCCCCCGAAAGTGATGCGAATGAGGAGAGGGACTTCCACGATCCTTCTGAGGATGGCGCGTGGCGCTCTGAGAGGGAGCTCCACCCATGCAGGGAGCCTTCGTGTGATCCTCAATCAGCCGCCGAGGTGCTTCTGGAAGGTGGTGTTTTAATCGAAAAAAGTGAAATCCACCCCGATCGGATCCGCTCACGCGACGACGACGACGGTGGGGCGCGATCCTGCTCCTCGTTGGAGCTCACCCCCACCCCCAAGAGCGGGGAGTACGACCGAAGAGGGGAGCCTTTCCGACGCTCGCGTTTCCGCGCAGGCGCGCGCTTCGACGACGGATCCGCGCGGACGGAATCGCTCAAAGTCTCCTCCTCCTCGAGTTTGGCGGCCGGCGCGGGGGGGGGGGTTGGAGCGGAGGGGGGGATCTCGCCGAGGTGGCGCGGTGCGTTTGGGCGGAGCCCCTGCCGGATGGGGGGTTGCCCGTTCTCCCTCTTCCTCCCCCTCTTCCTCCTCTTCCGCGCTCCTCCTTTTCCCTGACGGATGTTCTCGGCCTGCGCGGGGTCTCCCCACGCGCGCGAGGGATGCTCGACGAGCTGCTCGATCGCCGAGGGCTTTGCCGGGATCGCGAGGGGGCGATTCGGGCGCCGGATTTCCACCCC